CTCCTTCTCTGCCCCCCCTCTTCACACTTACTGCACTGCCAGAAACAGACTTGATGCTCTTTTATTTAAAACAACAAAAGTAGATCTTATTTATTGAATCTGTGCATTAATGTTTTTTTAAACACTTAAAATGTTTTGTAGCAGACATGCAATGTGATTGTTTTATTTCTGTATGGAAAAATAATTTTTCATCTTGAGGGCATTAGACCCTAAATGAGAATGTTTTAATAAAAAAAAATGGAATTACATCTGATTTTGTCACTCACGGTAATTTTTAAATTTTCTTTAGTAACAGCCGTAGCAATATCTGGAGGAGTAACAGCATGTAGCAGGAGTAACAGTAGTCGTTAAAGCAGTACCAATAGTAGCAACAAAGGTGTTAGTCTAACAGTGTAACTGCAGAGTCAGTAAGATCGGTAGTGTTTAGTAGCAGCAGCAGGTATAGTGACTATACTAGTAGCAGCATATGTAGTAACTATAGCAGGAGCAGGTATCCTAATATCCCTCTGCATCAACCATCCACACACCAACGCTTGGAGAGGAGTAAATATCCTGGTAAGGACACTTACTTTCAGTCCTTGCTATTCCAGCTACACCTGGAATAGCGTACACGCGCACGCACGCACGCACGCACGCACGCACGCCCGTTCACACGCACGCTCGCACGCACGCTCGCACGCACGCTCGCACGCACGCTCGCACTTCTGTACGGAGAAGACCTCCCACCAGCTCCCTCTGCCTGTCTGCTCTCACCTGCTAGTCCAGACCTCATGAGAGGTCAGCACTGGGATTGTACAGCAGCACAGTGGAGACACTTTCCCAGATACCGTATGAACACCAGCAATACACACAACACGTCAACATACACACACACACACTCTCTGGTACGCACACTGTCTGATAAACACAAACAACGCTGAATATAAAAAAAAAAAGACCCCAAAGAAGGACAATGTTTTTATTCAAACAAAATATGCCTCTTAGATTGAGATTGATTTACAATAATAACGCAATTATTTAAAGTTTAAAGTTCAATTAAAGCTCTGAAATTTTACATTGACCCCAACATAACTATACCCATTTTATTTGAGAATTAGTAATAACTCTAATACCTTGCAGTCTCTCTGCTTCCCATCATACTACCAAATCCATAACCATTTGCGGTTTTTGTTAAGACAGTGCAATCAGTTAGCTCACCGATTAGTGAATGTACAGTCTAGTCTAGTGTCAGAAATAACAGAATACTGTGGGCTGTGATGAGATAAACCCTTGTTATTTTCCAGAAACCAAGAATCAACATTTTTTGCAAGGAGCAGAGGTGCCTCCTACTAGCAAGACTGGCAATTGAAAAAAAATAGTTACTAACGGATCTCCAGGAGAAAGATCTCTACATACCTTATTAAATATGTTGGCAGAGATCACTGAAACAGTTTGTCGTGATCAAACCTAACAAGCACGGCACCAGCAGTAACGCTAACACACCAAAACCAAGAACAGCCCACACTGGAAGAAACTTTTAGATACATACTGGGATAAAAAAATATATAGATATACATACGTGTGCATATACATTTAATCACATACAGTGCATTCCTCTGGTGATTCAATGATTTTGCTGCACAATGTCTCCAACAGTCCACTGTACACAGAAACACAACACACAGAAGAGTTAACCCAGAAGAGAAAGAAACACACAAAACAAATTAAAACACAACCACACAACCTGCTTTGTTGTGCATAAATCAAATTAAGGTTTCAGACAAAACCATATATTGATGTCTCTGTCTTTGTCTCCTCCTCAACTGTCTCTCCCCCCATCCCCTCCTCCTCCTCCTCCCTCCTCTGTCTCTCCCCCCTCCTCCACTCCTCCTACCCTCCTCTGTCTCTCCCCCCCTGTCTCCGCTCCCTCTCGTTCCTCACCTGTGTCTGGAGGTCAGCAGTACGTGATGCCCGGGAGTGGACAGGCTCCTCCTCTTCCTCACTCTTTCTTCTTGTTCTTCTTCTTGCCGGAGTACCTCCGGCCCCCGCGGCCTCCCCCTCCCTGTCTCCGGGCTCCCCAGGAGGGCATGGGCGGTTCGATCTCCCCAGGGCGGCCCCCTCGGTCCGGCACACTGCCCATCAGCACCTGGGCGCACAGCGAGAGGGGGACGAGTGAGTCTCCCAGCCCCGCGGCTCGCGCGGGGAGTCACCTGCGGCGGACGGACCCCCCC